TCCTTTGAGTAAAGTACTCAAGCGCGCGTCAGCAGTTGAAAGTTGGGAAGGGAAAATGCAAACACCAGCGAAACTTTTCCTGGAAACTTTTGTCAGGAAAAGTTTCCGGAACTTTTCCCGCAGCGCTCTCAGCTGTTGTTTGTGATCTGCTGCTGCTGCTGCTGCTGTCTGTCTGTTGTGGTGGTGATATACACGTCATTATCATCTCTATCTTCCTCTTCTTCTTCTTCTTTCACCCCAGCAGCCCATCATCCCCCAGATNCCCATCAGCCCCCCCCCCGGACAGAATGCACGACTGGCGGAAGGCCGTGCGCACGCCCCTCTCCTACTCAGTGCCCGGCAGCAGCTCGACGCTCCTCCGCCAGCAGACCAACTTCGTGACCGCCGTCGTCCTCACGGGCACCTTCGTCCTCCTCACCCTGTACATCCTCGCACCGGATGCCACCACCGCTCGCTCCTCCTCCTCCTCTTCAGCTGCACTGGCCGAGGAGCATGGCCACCACCACGAGTCAACGAGGTCGGCGGGGGGAGGGACGGGCTGCGAGTGCAGCATCAACGCCGCTGAAAGTCGAAGCCAGCCGTACAACAGCACCTACCCGCTGACGCCCGTGGAAGTCCTGCCTGATGGCCGTCTTCGCTACCACATCGCCGCCGTCGCCGACCTGGACACCCGGTCCCGGGCGGCGAACCGAGCCGACCAGTGGCACTCCTTCCTCCTCCGAGGGCTGCTCACCTACGATCCGGCCACCGGTTCGGTGGACATCAGCTGGTCAGCAGGGGGAGAGGAGCGCCTGGCTTCGCCCTACGCCGCCGGCGGTCGCGGCATGGAGCTCTCCGAGCTGGTCGTCTTCAACGGCAAACTGCTCACCTGCGACGACCGCACCGGCATCGTCTACGAGGTGGTCCGGCGGCCGACCGCCGAGTCCGCCTCTTCTTCCGCTACCTCATCCTCATCTTCTTCCTCAAACTCCACCCCAGCCAAATGGGACCTGCTGCCCTGGGTGATCCTTCGAAATGGCGACGGAAGGCACTCCTCCTCCTCCTCCTCGAAGGGCGGCTTCAAGTGCGAGTGGATGACCGTCAAGGGCGGCCACCTGTACGTGGGCAGCCTGGGCAAGGAGTGGACCACCGCCTCCGGGGACCGCGTCCTCAACGCCGACCCGCAGTGGGTGAAGCGGGTCTCGGTGGAGGGGGCGGTGGAGCACCTCGACTGGCGGCCGGCCTACGCGGCGCTGGTCCGCGCCGCGGGCATCACCTCCCCGCCCGGCTACCTCATCCACGAGGCGGCGGTCTACAGCGAGCGAAGCCGCCGGTGGCACTTTCTCCCGCGGCGCGCCTCCCACGACGCCTACAACGAGGTGGCGGACGAGCAGCGGGCGACGAACATTGTCCTCAGCGCCGAGGGCGAGGACTTGGGCCGGGTGAACCTGACGCTGGCCGGCGTGGGCCGCCTCTCGCCGACGCACGGCTTCAGCTCGGTGAAGCTGCTGCCGCTGAAGGGCGGCGGCGAGACCTCGCCGGAGATTGCCCTGGCGCTGAAGTCAGAGGAGAGCGGCGACACGGTCGCTTCCTACGTGACCGTCTTTCGCCTGGACGACGGTCGGGTGCTGCTGCCGGAGACGAGGATCAGCGCAGTGCACAAGTACGAGGGAGTGGAGTTTGTTTGAGAGAACTGCTCAAANCACGGCTTCAGCTCGGTGAAGCTGCTGCCGCTGAAGACGGGCGGCGGCGGCGGCGATTGGTCGTCGCAGCCGGAGATTGCCCTGGCGCTGAAGTCAGAGGAGAGCGGCGACACGGTGGCCTCCTACGTCACCGTCTTTCGCCTCGATGACGGTCGAGTGCTGCTGCCGGAGACGAGGATCAGCGCAGTGCACAAGTACGAGGGAGTGGAGTTTGTTTGAGAGAACTGCTCAAATGCTGATGCTAAGCTAGTCGGTCACGGTCTCTTCCCATCATTGAAAGCGCATCCCCTTCATCTCCTTCATCCTCTTCATCATCATCTGATCGTAAATGAAGTAGAACACCTTTTTATAAACCTCCCTTCCTGAGCACATAATATTTATTGTCTGTGATTGTCCGACTGAACTGAACTGAACAGAGCATCACTTCGGACAACGTCGTCGTTGTTGTTGTTCTCCCCCTTCCCCCGTTTCAAAGCAGAAGTAAAACCCACAGCTGAAAACAAAACAAAACAATAAGCCATATACGAGCAAAGAGAGAGAGAGAGAGAGAGAGAGTGCTTCCGAACTGCTCGGTGATTCGGTTCTTCTCCTTCAAGAGGACAAGTAAGCTTTTCTTCCACCCTTGCTGCCTCCTCGCCAATGATCATCAATCACAGTCTCAGAGCTGTGCTGCTGCTGCAGTTTGAGCAGTTTGCTGTTGTCCGCCTGTCTCCCTAAGTGCCGCATCCGAAGAGTGAGCTGGCCACCAGTAATTACCGGCTAATTACGCTCTCTCTCTCTCTCTCTTTCCTTCAACAGCAGCAGAAAGGCTACTGAACAAGAGCAGACAAGAGCGCAGTCCCTTCAACTCCTTTCCTTTGTTCTTCCGCCATCCACCACCACCACCACCACAACAACAGCTGCTGCAGCAGCAATCTTTTCTTCTTCTTCTTCAACCGTTTCAACCTCTTCTTCAACTTCTTCAACTTTTTTTTCTTCTTCTTCTTTTGGCGTAATCATCCTCAGTTCCGAGTTGAGGAGA